GGATCATCCCAGGATCCTGCCCTGTGTCACTGTTTCCCCCTCCATTTCCCTGGGCAGCCACCTACGTGAAGGTTTACCTGCTGGAGAACGGCGTCTGCCTGGCCAAGAAGAAGACCAAGGTGGTGAAGAAAAGCTGTGACCCGTCCTACCAGCAGCCTCTGCTCTTCGAGGAGAGTCCCCAGGGCAAAGTCCTGCAGGTGACCATCCCCTGGCACTCAGGGACACGGAGGGATCATGGAATGGGTTGGGTTGGGTTGGGTTGGAGGGATCTTAAAGCCCATCCAGTGCCACCCCCTGCCATGGGCACGGGCACCTCCCATTGGCCCAGGTTGCTCCTTGGGTACTCCCAGGGATGAGGCAGCCACAGCTTCTCCGGGAAACTGTGCCAGGGCCTTCCCACCCCTCCAGGGTGAGGGGAGCAAGGACAGGGCGCAGAGCCCCAGTGCCCACCCTGCTGTCCCTCAGATCCCCCCTGCCCCAATCCCAGCAGGTCCTCTCCAACCAGGTGCGCTGAGTTTGCCGTGTTTTTCCCGGAATTCCCTCCTGGCAGCTCCCTGACCCGTGTCTGTGCCCGCAGGTGATCGTCTGGGGCGATTACGGGCGCATGGACCACAAGTGCTTCATGGGGATGGCCCAGATCATCCTGGAGGAGCTGGATCTCTCCAGCACCGTCTCGGGCTGGTACAAACTCTTCCCCACGTCCTCGCTGGCCGACTCCAGCATCGGACCTCTGACCCGCCGCCTGTCCCAGTCCTCCCTGGAGAGCTCCACCAGCCCCTCCTGCCCGTAAGGGGGGGCAGGTCAGTCAGTGGGATTGGGGAGGGGGAAGGAGACGCCCTGACCTACCCAAACTGGGCGTGGAGAGCTGTAAATATCCTTTTTTCTTTCTTTTTTTTTTTTTTTTTTAAATTTTGATTTTTAAAATTCTCCTTCCCCGACCCAAAAACCTGCCCTGGACACGCCCCCTCCCCACGCTCGTGTCCCAGGATGGGGAGGGGATGTGGGAGGAGCGAGGGCTGGGTGTCAGGCTGGGGAGGGGGGGAAGGAGGAGCAAAACAAACCCCCCCACCCTGAGGGCTGCGACTGCCGATGATCCCAGACTGTTCCCACGCCTCGTCCCGGCACCTGGAAGGCCTCGAGGTGCCCAGTTCTCTCCTGGCCCCAGCGAGAGCAGCTCGGTCTGGTTCAGCAGCAGCGTGACGACGAGGTTCCTTTCCTTCCATCCCCCTTTCCTCGCCTCCAAGGAAAAGGGAGCTTTCCAATGGGAAAAAAAAAAAAAAAAACTCAGAAAAAAAGAAAATTCCAACTCAGCACTACTTTTGTTTTCCGAGGAATGTAGCATCTTCTCTTATGTAGCTTGCCACGTGCTAATAACAACAACACTCACTGCAATATCCAAGAGACTCCGGATGGGCCGGGAACATCTGCCAGTCACGTCCCGTTTGTTCATTTCCCGAGCACTTTTGGTGGCCATTTTTCCTCCCTTTTTTTTTTTTCCCTCCCCTGCTCCCGGTGTTTTTGTTTTTGTTTTTTTTTTTTTTTTCCCGGCAGCATGTAGCCTGTGAGCAGTGCCATTGCCAAAGCAGGGGAGGACAGGGGGAAGGGGCACTCTCCTCACCTCATCACCCGCTGGTCTTCTCCTCGTGCTCCACCGCGCTGACCGCGGGCTCGTCCGGCCAAAACGAGACCCGAAAGATGAACTCTTGTGATGCCTCACGGGGCAATTCCAGTCGGGAGAAGGCGACCCAACGGAGCAGGAAGACACCAGGACGCCCCTTCCTCCCCTGAGGGCCGGCTGGAGGGCTGGGATGTCCTCCTTGGAGCTGGGATGTCCTTGTTAAGGTCTGGATGTCTCCTCCTCCTCCAGGCTGGGATGCTCTCCTTGAGGACTGGGATGCTCTCCTCGAGGTCTGGGATGCTCTCCTTGAGGTCCAGGAATGCCCACCTTGAAGCTGAGACGCCCCTCCTCGAGGTTTGGGAATGCCCTCCTGCATGTTGGGATGCTTCCCTCGAGGTCGGGGATGCCGTCCTTGAGGTCTGGGATTCCCTTCTCGAGGTCTGGGATGTCCTGCTCAGGGGTTGGGACGCTTCTCCCTGAGGTCTGGGATGTCCTTCTCGGGGTCAGGACGCCCTTCTCGAGAGCTGGAATGCCCTCCTTGAGGTCTGGGATGCTCTCCCCGAGGTCTGGACTCCCCTCCTGGATACTTGAATTCCAAGCAGGAGCGGAGGGGTTTGCCCAGCCCTGTTCTCCAACTCTGGACTCGCTGCTTTGCTACAGGGGAACATCTCAACAGCAGCCTGTGCTGCTCTGGAATTCAGGTGCCGGAGAGGGGACGGCCGAGGGACTCTCTGGGTTGAGTTTCTCGTCAGGATGAGTGTTTTGGGGTTTTTGTTTGTATGTTTTGTTTGTTTTTTAAAAGCAGCATTTCGGTTCCCTCCGAGGGACCCAGTTCTTGTAGCAAACCCGAGAATTACGGAAGCTTTTTTTGAAGGTGCCTAATGAAATTTGCTGAAAATACTCAGGGGAGACACCACTAGAAACTCTGGTTTCTTCGTAAAATGAACCTAATCCAATGACTGTCCTGAAGGATCAGTTCCCAAAAGAGAGGGGAAAAAAAAAAAAAAACCCGACAACAAACCCAACACACCAAAAGATGAGCAGTTTGGAGACTGGAAGAGGACAAGAGGTTAACGGGGAATTTTTGCCGACCGGCTGGCTCTGACCTTCAGTTTTCACCACAAACCAACCCACAGCACAGTTGGGATTTTTATACAATTATTTCTTGGCGAAACACAGAATTCCACAATGCACAGAGCACAACAAACCGACCGAGGTTCTCCAGGAACAACGAACCCGCTCAGCCGCAACGGAACGAAACCAAACCTGAAGGGAAAAGACTGTTGGGATGAAGCTGTTCCCTCCACAAACCCAAACCTGGGGGTCCCCAACCCCAAACCTGAGGGTTCACAAACCCCAAACCCAAAGCCAGGGGTTCACAAACCCAAACCCTTGGGGTCCGCAGACCCACATCTGGGGGTCAGCAGGACTCCGCTGAGCGGTGGCTGCTTTGCCCAACAGCACCAAATTTAAGGGACGTCGTGACAAGGACTTTCAGCTGCTGTCTTGAGTTTGCCAACTCGAAATCAGGCCTCTGAGGAAAGAGGAGGCCAAGCGCTGCTGCCCTGGGATGGGGAGAGGTTCATCCTTTCACCTCACGAAGGGTGAAATCCTCTGCCGGAGCAGCAAACGGTCGGAGCGCTCGCTCCGACTGCTGGGCTGGATGGCAACGGAAGGAACACGGGATGCACTCAACCTCCAGCGGTTTGGGGAGGCAGACTCGGTGCCCTGACTCCTGAAACGGGCACAAACACTGGTTTGAACTCCCTTGCAGAGCAGGGAGCAGCTCCACAAGGTCGGCGGCGCTGGATTTCCGACTGCACGCCAGGGAAAGCGTCCTGAGAGGAAAAGCTTTCTGCTCCTCCGAGCTGACACTATTTACTTTTGCTTTACCAGCTCTGTCTCGGTGGGAAGACGCCGAACCTGCCCGTGGTGGGGCCGCAGAGCAGTGGCGTGGGCAGAGCAGGCAGCTCTGCAGGGACGTTCTGCTCTCTCTCCTGTGGGCACAGCATCCCACCCCCTCCCTTGCCAGCTCTGCATTCCTCCAGCAGAGCTTCCCTGCTCCTCTCCCTGCCAGGAACATCACACGCCCGTGCTCTGACAGAGAACAGAGGCGGGTGAGGAGCAGCAGAACATCCCGACCACGCGCCTTGAGGTCCAGCAGCAGCCTCGCTGCTTCTGCCCCAGTTACCAAAACCCCGCTGGAAAAACCCAGAGGGAAGAACCATCCCCTGGAAGGCACAAGGGAGACAAGGGAACAAGGAAAACCTGAAGACTTTGGGCTTCTCTCTGGTCCCTGACACGCTGAGGATGCGCTGGGTGGGGGTGGTGACTGAACAAACTGCGCCCCAGTTCTCCCTCCCTGCTGGGTTCCTGTTTGCTGCCTCGTGGCACTGGTTCCTCCTGCTCCTTGGCACCACTTCAAATGACCATCACTTCCTCAGCAGACTGACCAAAATCCAGCAAGACCTTCCCTTCTTCCCTTCCAGTCCTCCCCAGGGGCTGCCTCTCACTGCCCTGGGGAAGCGCCTGGGTCAGGACCCACCTTGCACTGGTGTGGGAAAACTGAACTGGGGGGAACTGTGCCACAGTTACACTGAACCATCAGCTCCTTCTGCCCTCTCAGCCCCTGAGCCCACGTGGCAGATGTTTTCCCTCCTCCAACAACCAGAACAACGAAGCCAGGACACCCCATTGCTTTCCACAGGACACACCAGAAATCCCCAACTCAGCCCTGTGCCAGCCACTGAGAAAATTAACTCCATCCCAGGACAAACCAGAAGCTTCTGCACTCCAGGAGTTTTTCTTTTGCTGGGGGAATATTTTATTGCCAAGGGCATTTTTTTTTTTTTAAATGTGCAATAGGATTTGCAAAAGGTGGCTGCCTCAGTATTGTTATGGGTTGGGGTGTTTCCTCTACCTCCCATCATGGAAGGAAAGTCAAACCACTTGATTTGGCAGATATTTTTCCCTAGAAAGAATAATTAATATTCAATGAAATCAGCTTTGCAGCCTGTTTTACACCCAGCCCCCAGCAGTGAGGAGCAGCACCCACCTGACACAGAGCTCTCCGAAGCACTGACAGTGATGCTGAGGCTGGAACCAAACCCCCACCTGGAGTCACAAGGATGGATTTTACCAAAATAGCCTTGAAATGGGACTTAAACATCCCCTAAATGCTAATAAAAGTCACACCATGCAGCAAAGCACAGAAAACACTCCGTGACTCCAGACCTAAGTTATCCCTGTGTTTTCTACCCGCCTGGAATGGGCTGAATTTGCCAAAGTGGAGGGAAAATTTTCGAGGGCAGCAGGAGCTGGGCCCAGAAATCAGCTCCTGTGTCATCATGGCACGCTGAAAGCATGGGGAGAGGATGCTTAAATGTAGTTTTCCTGAAATCCAGTGAGATACAGAAGCAATTC